CAAGCCTCACGCCACAATGTGGCTGGCCGTGACCGACACCAACAAGAAGGACAACAACCTCACTCGAGTGGCCCAGATCGTCGGCAGGCTGTTCAGGAGCGACAAGCACTCGGAGGGCGTGTATGCGTCACTCCTTCACAACGCCACCGACCTCGTCGACGCCCTCTGCTACCAAGTCGACTGCCTCGAGGCGTCCATCCGGCGCGAGCACAGCCTGCCAGAGGAGGATGCGGGCGCCCTCACTCCCTCGTCGGCCGGCTACCGCACATCCGTGTCGTTCCCATCGCTGTCCTCCTCCGCCCGTGAGGCACAGCCCCCGACGCTGGCTGCCTCCGCATCGATGCCCCTGAGCCTGCCGGTGCGAGCCCGGCCGATGAGGGAGGGGTCGGACGTCGACGCGCCGGCTCACGGCGGGACCTTCGAGCTGCAGACCACGGCGTTCGTGCGGCTGGTGCACACGCTGCAAGACGTCCTGGGGTCGCCCACGCCGCCCGAGGAGCCCCCGATGGGCATCGCTGACAATGACAACGGCGAGCCGCTACCCGACCATGATGGGGATGGCGGCAACAATGACGGAGGAGGAGCCAGCGACGGCAACCAACAGCAGCAGCAGCAGCAGCAACAGGGGAGTGGGGAGGGTGGTCAGCCGCCTGCTGATGCACCGATGGATGCTGCCCCACCTTCGCAATCGCAATCGCAATCGCAGCAGCAGCAGCCGCCTGCATCCCAGGCCACCGTGGCCACTCCCCAGGTGGCTGGCGCTAGGGGTACCGAGGAAGCACCAGGACAGCAACCCACCCCTACCAGCGACCAGGCCCCGCCATCACAACCTCCCCCCGGTGAGGCGCCATCGCAGCCACCCCCGGCAGGGCAGCCCGACGCCGCACAGCCCTCTTCTTCCGCTGCGGCAGCCGCCGCTGCTGGTGGGGAGGGAGAAGGACAGCCAGCGGCAGCGAGTGCGGCCGAGGCCGCCCCCCGCGACCCCCTGCACTCGATGCGGCAGGTGAGGGACTTCTTCGACGCCGCCGAGTCCCGTCGGCTGTGGTACCGTCTGGAGAAATGCATGAGCACCGTCGCGCGTGCGTTCCCCCACTTAAGCAACCGTCCCGGCGACCGTCGTGTGACCCCCACCAGCAGCTCAGCTCGGGCCAATGCAGTGCGAAATGGGCCTGCGGGCGCCGCTGCGGGGGGAGGGGCTGGCAGAGGGGCCGGCAGGGGCGTTGCGAACGCGCTCTTCGGAGGGCCTGGACCGCTGGGCGGCCTCATGGCGGCCGGGGCGGGTGGTGCGGCTGGAGCGGCCGGAGCGGCCGGGGGGGCCGGTGAGGGTGGTGATCGTCAGGGAGGGCAGGCGCCGCCCCCGATGGTGCTGAATCAGCTGCTGCCGCTGCTGGAGGCGTGGCTGCAGGTGCAGTTCTATGGCATTGTGGTGGACAGCGACCTGACGAGCGCCGTGGCACCTGATGACGACGGCGGGCCGTTGGTGGCCGACCGCGACACCTTCTTGAATGACAGGCACCAGGAGCTGGTCCGCGTCTGCGAGAGACACAGGAGGGTGAGTGAGTCGGGGGGAGGGAGGGAGGGAGACGCCCGCAGACACAGACAGCCACACAGTCGACCCTTAAGGTGACTGATGCATGGACAATCCTTCTCTCTCTCTCTGTGTGTGTGTGTGTGTGTGTGTGCGTGTGTGCGTGTGTGCGTGTGTGTACCAGGCGTTGAATGCGTTGATTCGGCAGACGCCCACTCTGCTGAGCACCACCCTGGCGCCCCTCATCCGTCTGGCACCGTCGGCCGTCGACTTCGAGAACAAACGACACTACTTCAAGTCAGCACAGTACAGCACAGCACTGCAGCCTCCAAAGGCCAACCAACACACTCTCCGCGTGGGTCTTGTGGTGTCTGTCGGTGTGGTTTGGTAATGTGCAGGAACAAGATCCGTCAGCTGCGGTCTGACGTGCGTCACGAGACGCTGCGGCTGAACCTGCGTCGTCACTCGGTGTTTATGGATTCCTTCCACCAGCTGCGGATGCGGACCGGTGAGGAGATGAAGGGCAAGATCACGGTGTCCTTCCAGGGCGAGGAGGGCGTCGATGCCGGCGGACTCACCCGGGAGTGGTTCTCCATCCTCTCCAGGGAAATGTTCAACCCGGGATATGCACTCTTCAGGTACACAATCCCATCCCGGGCGGCTGGAACGACAGACACGCAATGCAGCCACTGCCCTCGTGTGTGTGTGTGTGTGTGATGTCTGTCTATGAATCAGCCGTACCGGCGCCAAGGCGGAGTTCAATCACCCGAATCCGCTGTCTCACGTGAACCAGGACCACCTGCACTTCTTCAAGTTCATCGGCCGCATCATCGGCAAGGCCATCTACGAGAGCATTCACCTCGACGCCTACTTCACCCGGTCCTGCTACAAGCACATGCTGGGGCGCAAACCCAAGGCCGCCGACAGCGAGGCGCTCGACCCGGAGTTCTACAAGAACCTCATGAACATCCTCAAGGAGCCCCTGGACATGCTCGGACTCGAACTCACCTTCTCGTGAGGAGCAAACTTTCAACACACACACACATGGACACACAGATGGACACACACCCCACTTGTGCTTGGTGTTGGGTGCGCAGTACTGAGGTGGAGAATTTTGGCGCCATGATGACTGTGGACCTGAAGGAGAACGGCCGCAACATACCTGTCAACGACGTGAGCACAGCACACAAGACGACAGACAGACGCCACACAGACAGAAGGAACAAGCAAAGGAATCCACATACGCTGACACGTGTGTGTCTGTGTGTCTGTCTGTCTGTCTGTCTATGTGTGCAGGAGAATAAGGAGGAGTACGTGGGGCTGATGTGTGAGTACCGCATGACCGAGGCTATCAAGCCACAGCTCGACGCATTCCTCTCGGGCTTCCACGAGATCATACCAGCCAAACTCATCTCCATCTTCGACGACAAGGTGGGTGCGGTGGGTGGACCCACACACCACAGACCACCAGAGCAGACATGCACACCGGAGTGTCACGCGTGTGTGTGTGTGTTTGCGCCTGTCTGCCCCCCTCCCCCTCCCCGTGTGTGTGCAGGAGTTGGAGTTGCTGATCAGCGGTCTGCCGGAGATCGACCTGGACGACCTGCGGCGCAACACCGAGTACACGGGCTACACGGAGGACAGCCAAGTCATCACCTGGTTCTGGAAGACCCTACAAACATTCGACCAAAACAGACTCGCTACCTTCCTCCAGGTACCTACACAGAGGGAGGGAAGGACACACACGCGCACACAGCTTGCTTCGTCAATGAGGGAATGAGGGAGCGCGCTGTGTGTGTGTGTCGTGTCGTGTCGTTGTGGTGCGTGTGTGCAGTTCGTGACGGGTACGTCTCGGGTGCCTCTGGAGGGCTTCACCAACCTGATGGGCATGCGGGGGCCCCAACGATTCTCAATCCACAGGTCGGTCAGCCAGCCAGACACAACACAACACCAAGTAAAGTAGTACCCCCCTGTCTTTCTTTCTGTCTGACTGTCTGTCTGTCTGTGTGTGTGGTGTCCCCTCCCTCCCTCAGGGCGTTCGGTGAGGATCGGCTGCCGTCGGCCCACACGTGCTTCAACCAGCTCGACCTGCCCGAGTACTCCAACGAAGACCAACTCAAGTCAGCACCAACCAATCACATACATCAACACGACAGACACCCAGTCACACCGCTCCCTCCCATTCCCTTGCTGTCTGCCTGCCTGTCTGTCTGTGTCCGAATGCCTGTGTGCAGGACGAAGCTCATCCAGGCGATCCACGAGGCCCGCGAGGGCTTCGGCTTCATCTGAGGGCGGGGGGCGGGGCATCCAGTGGGGGCGATCGCAGCGTAGAGTGAGTGGTGGAGCGCTCACCAGTGGGGGAGTGGCGGAGGAGGAGGAAGAGATCATGATGATAGCCATCGAGGTGGATGGATCGTCCGCTTAACAAAACAAGCCAGCTGTAGTGTGTCTTCAACAGACAGACCGACCGCTGTAGAGTAGTGTACCCCCCCCCCCCCCCCCCCCCC